TCTAAGTATAAAAATGTTTTAAATTTGGAAGCAGGCTTATGGGTACAACACATTTGAGTAGCAATAATATTCAGACAGCATTGTTTTTATGCATTTTTAAATTAATCTCTAGTTTTACTTTTAAGCACTTTTTGACTCGTGTCTTAGAAAGGTGTAATATAAAACATAGTTTTTTACAAGGAAAAGATTACTTGGCATAAGTAGTGAGTGAAACAAACTGATGGGGTGTTTCACTAAACCGGTTAACTGGTCTAAAAAGTTAATCGGTTTCACTAAACCGGTTAAGTTCATAGACCAGTCAGCCTTAGCCCTTCCAGACGTTATGATGCTTGTCAAATAATGATTAATAAATGAATAAATGTTGTACTTCAGCACAGGAACATTGGATAATTGATAAAATCTTGATATATTGATTAAAGATAATAATATTCTATTTTTAAAGGAAAATTATTATATATTTATCTGAAACCAATGCTATTACCATTATATTCATTAAATCAATTCTATATTTATTTTCAGTAAAAAAAAAATGAAACATTTAGATTTGTATTTAATAAGGTATTTATATATTGTATTGTGGCACTCATCACCCACCATATATTCTATGGTTATACTAGTTTTTCATTATTCCAAGCAAGATTGTTGTTAAATAAAATCTGACTAAATCTGAATAAATGTAGTATAGGACTAAAACCATTACTAAAATCTAGACTTAATGGGTAAGAAGTATTTGATTAAAGCATCTTTAAAATTATTAAGTTTTTTGTCAAAAGACAATAAGACTATAAATATAACATTGAACACAACATGAAATTGGCACTGGTTAATTATCACATTTAATTTGGAAACATATCTTGAAATAATTTCTATGAGATAAAAGATGACAATTTATGCATCTAATCTTCAGAAATGGAGTTCCACTCCCTTTCCCTGGTTTTATTGCTGGCAACAAATTTCTGAACTTTTAATAGCTTTCTTACAGTAAAAATGCAGATTAAAATGTCCCCATTGTTTCTCTTTAAACTCCATGTTTGACTGCACTGTGTGCTTATGTGTGTGGCAGCACTAGTTTAACCTGGTTTCATTAAACAAGTGAGGCGTCCTTTTGCTAAAACTGAGTAATCACCGTTTTACAGTGCAAAAACGATCAAGAAATAAGTAAATTAAGCATATTATCCCTTAATTTAAGTAGGTAAATAAGATGATCTGCCAATGGAATTAGTATTTTTACTCTTCAAATTAGGTAATTACATTATATGGACCTTAAATAAGACAATGCAATTGTTTTTTTTTCTGATTTTAAATGTAAATTGTCGTGTTCCATTGGCAAAGTGTCTAACTTGCCTCCTTAATTCAAGAACAAATGCACTTATTTTAAGAAAAAATGACTTCTTTAGATTTCAATTTTCTACAGTGTATGTATGTGCCTACCTTGAGTCAGAATTTGGTGTCTTAGTCTGGCTTTTCGGAGCAAGTTTTATATAACCCTTTTTCTCAGACAGTTAAAAACAACAATTTCAGAAGAATAAAATTGAGGGGAAAAAAACATTCTCAGACTGTGAAAAACCAAGAAAAAAAGCCTTACTGAAGGAGTTTTAAGCGTGGATATTAAAGGGGAACAACTGAAATAGACTACTCAAATAGATGTTTGATCTTGATTCAGGCATACCTGTGAAGATACATTGTCTTGCTACCGAAAAGTCTTGTAATTAAATTAGCTTTGCCTTAAAGAACTCGAGAATAACTAAGAGGTCTTGAAAGGTCTTGAAAGCTGATGTCTTAGCAACTATGTAATATATTGTGGTACCAAGTCTTTAAATATGAAAGTATTATAAAGTCTTTTCATTGAGATACAAGAGTCAGGGTAAGGCTTTTAGAACCAGGGTGATGGATGCAGCAGCACGGTTCTGGATCAACTGCTGTTTTCAGAGCCTTATTGTAGGCAATTCAATTTAGTCATCTCAAAGCAATTTTCAGATCTTACAGTCAGATTTGTTGAAAGGAATCTTAGCAAAAACACTCAGTCAAGTCATTGACTTTCTAAGATATCCTCTTCCTGGATGAGCATGTGGCAACAGTAGACAGTTGCTTGCATTGTGCCTTTGCCTCTACCGCAATCTCTCACATCGACAGACACTATTGCAGTTATTCAATATATTTTTATATTATATATATAAAAAAGAAGTTATTCATTTTAAACAAACATAAACACATTAATGTTTTATTTCTATATATATTCTGCTGGGATTTTAGTCTTTTAGAAATGTTCCTCCCGTGACAGAAGTAATTGTCTTTATGAGCCTCTGAAGTTTTAGGACTAAGTTTATCACTACACACAGATCTTGTGCCTGCCCAGTGGTTTCTAGTTATAGTAAAATAAGCTGTGGGTTATCATTTGATCACACCCTCTTTGGCCAAAAAAAAAAACTTCTCGTTCCATTCCTATTCAGCAGGAGAAAATAATGCCATATCTACACATTGATTTCTTCTAGGCATTTACCCAACTCTTTGATGCATCTATAGCTTATGGTAACTTATCTTGTTGGTTTTAATCTAAGCTATGGGAAACTGACAATAATAATCATTTTTAATCCATTACTGTGACATGTCAACCTGTTTGTATATTATTCTGTTACTGCAAAGATGAACATTATTTATTAGAGTTTATTTTTGGTTTAACACATATATGATGAATTTTACACTGATTTTGCAGCATGTTTGTTCTGTTACTTCTATGAGCATATATGGAAAAGCACAAAAAGCTTCCATTGAAGAAGATTCTAATTCTTAATACTCACTTTGTATTGATCATCTTAAGGTCCTCAATGATTAAAAGGAAGACTCATTAACAAACCATGTCTCAATTTCTTGTTTATTTCATTTGTACAAAGACGATGCATAAACTGCATTTTACATTTGACTTAACAAGTTTTAAAAGTTTAAGTATAAGTATACTCATATATAAGCATTGTACTGCAATGAACAGGATATAATGATCTCTGTTGACCCTCTTAAAATACCTGATGTAAGATGTGTGTTACTTTAAAACAGATTGTGTCTTTATGTTATCAAAATTAATGAATATTTATTTTGGATACAGATAACTTTCATTTTCTTATGTGTCTTTTGGCCTCCAGTTTTATTAAGGGGTCAGCACAAAAAGTCTGTTGTACTTTTAGACAGACCTGGAAGAGTTCTTCCCTTCCTGGACAAATCAGGATTTCAACCTAGATTCAAATGTAATACGCAAATTCAAAGGTGGACTAACAACAGGAAATGTCATCATTACTGGTTTAATGTAGGCTAAATTTATTCATACCTTGATCTTTCTTTACATAGGTATAGTAGAGATTTCTGATGCAGAGCTTGCAGTGGTAAAAGAGCCAGGGAATGCCACTCTGTTGTAACTAACAAACACTGAGGCCTTTACATACCAGCTGCATTTTAATTTCATTTCACTTTGAATGAATGTGAATACTATTCAGTTTTTAATGGGAACTGGCTTAACCTTTTTATTTTCTTTTTAAACAGAAAAACCTTTTTTTTTTTTTTTTACACTTTCCAATTATGTCTCATACTGTGCTAGGAAGAAATTGTGATCAATTGTTTAATCAAGGAATTAATTGATTACTCAAATACTAAAATATTTGATCTAATTACATCTAATTTTGTTGTGGTTTGGTAACCGTTTTGTTCTATTCATATACAATACTGTATGTTACTGTAAGCTTTCTAGAAATTTGTGACAAATGTGATTTTACACAATGTTGGATTTGATGCGTTATATATTTCTTATTGACACTTCAAGATTCTAAGAGGATAACTTTGCGGAAAAAGTGTGACAGCCTAATCTTAAAAATCATAAAGGTGAAACTAATAACAGCTGTCGTGTCAAAACGAGCTCAAGATGAAGATGTTTTCAACTGATGAGTATCGGCACCCTTGACTTATCTCTTTCCTAATACCCGTCGGACTGGAATTTCTTTAATGTGCGTTAGTTACATCCACAGGTAGTCAGCAAGCAACTCAGTCACCTTTTACAAAGAGTTTCTTTTAAAATAAAAATCTGGCTAATTTTATATACAGATCTTAAAAAACTTGCCTTATTTGTCTCACATCAGTGTTTTTACTATCAGTCCATACTGTAGGTTTCACTCTTTAAAATTATATATACAGTGACTCTTTTGTTCTTAAATTTCCTGTCTGTCACGTTAAAAAGTTAAAAGAAAGCGCATACAGTTAGAAAAAGCTGGGTTCATAGATATGTCATAGTGGAGTGATAAAGTTGTCCTCGTTTTCAGGACTGAGCACAGAAAACGGGTCCAACTTTGTCGTGTATAATGGAAGTCGTTTACCTTCGGGGAAGACTTTCTAAATTTGGTAAACCGCAATCTGTGCTTCTCAGCGGGGAAATCTGATGTCAAGCCATCAGTTTGTAACCTTAGGCTAAGTCACAACCTGGGTTATGCAACAGTACAATTATCTAAAGCACTCCATGTCCTCCACTAAAAGGCTCAAAGTTTTTCGACTAAGCTAGCTGAATTCTAGACTTGAATTTAATTCGAGTGATTTTAAATAGCATTAAGCAGGGTTCTCAGGCATAAAGAACCTATAATGTGCGACTTATTACAAAATAATTCATACCTAAAAATTATGTGGAATCCATACTCCAAAATATAATTTAAACCATGGTAGTCTCTGAAAAATACAATACAATAAAATCATTGCCCATCAACATGCATCTTGTTTCAATACATTGCCAACGTTTCAAAGTCCTGTGAATTTAATTTGTGTAAAATAAAATATTCATACAGACTGCCATACAGACTTTAAATGTACTTTAATGACTTTTTTTTTAAAACACTCACATGGTAACAAGAATACAATTAAAAACACATTGAAGGATTGTAAAAACAAAAGGAAATTAAACTTAAAACTGATGACATCTTCAAATTTGTATTACATTTAAACTGCTTTTGTATACAAATCCCACGTCACCGTTTGCGTACTTTGGAGATGCATGACTTGAATTTTCATCTAGGAAAACGGATTAGAATTCAAGACAAACAATCCAAAAAGAAAACAAGACAAAACAGTGGGGAACTTTGTCATTTTGTCAATAAAAATCAAACATCCCATATTTAACAGACATTTAAAGACTTTTTAAAATAAATGATCACGAAACACATAATACTTTGCAGAAATAGGTGTTAAAGCAATAAAATTTTCATACAATGTTTAGCAGATGCTTTCTGCGAACAACATATATGCCATAAAATGTTGGTTTGGTTCTTTTTACAATCATTGCACAGTTTTTTAAGAGAATCCAGTTTCACCTTCATGGATAAGTCTTAATTCCAGAGCCCTGCGCAAGGCTCTGTTTAACAGGACCAACAAGTCTAAGGCCTCTGGAACTCCCCTTGGCAGAAATAGTTCTAAAGATTCCTCTGAAGCATGTGGGAGATTCATGGCTGATGAGCCTGCATCCTTTGGAAAAATAAAATAAGATTTTAAAAAAGGCATTTGCATAAAGGAAAACTGTCATGGAGCTATTCTTATAAGCTTAGGCTGCAAGAACCATAGCAAAAAAACAATGTGTATTTGGCCTATGGGGACTCAAGAAGTAAATTACATGTAAAAAAAATAAATACAGCACAAGAAAAAAATGTGGATAGTGTGTAAAATAGGAGAACAAAAACAGTGCATTGTGTACAAAATGATTGCTTGTAATTTGAACAGTAATATCTTCAGGTGCACACTGAGGTTTATTTACTCCTAGTAATTAAAGTGGATCATTCAGTACCAACCTGTGAGTAAAAACACAGGGAGATCAGTTTGGGGAAACCAAGAGGGGGCAAGTGGTCAGCTCCGGTGATGAAGAGAAGGAGGTCTTCAAAGGAAAAATATGCCTCGCCATCTGACTCAACAGAGGAGGAAACATGTTCATTTAAATTTGATCACAACTGAACCCGATTTGTTCTTTTTTTTTCTGCACATACCGCTGACCATGGTGAGGACTGTTTCCCAGTGAGCTGCAGTGGCCTCCTCAGCTGCTCTCAGCTCAGAGTCTGGATCACTGAAGCAAAATGTGAAGAGCTGCTTGAACTCCTCCAAGCTCAGAGCTTTTTGTTCTTTACTCGTCATTACTGGCAGAAACGTCTCCCAGTGTGACTTTACCAGATCCCACAATTCCCCGCAGCTGTTCAGCCCTTCAATAAACTGGGAGATCATACTGGCCACCCTGAAATTCAGGGGATAGTCAAAGCATGACTAACAGCAGAAACAAACATAACATTTCTCTGTTGATGTTAACTTGGGATGCCCCACCTGTGGTAGATGTAGTGTTTTACCAATCGGGCATAGATGGCTGGTATTTCATTAGAACAAGCCCAATGGATTCCATGGATTCCACAGTTTGTTACCCAGTCACACAGACCAGGGGAGAGTTGCTTCACATCGCTGCAACTGTGCAGCTGCCGGAGGAGCATTGAGGAGTAAGAACAATTCAGATATAGTTAGTTTAAGGCAGAAAAGCAGGTCTGATCAGTCTTTCAAGATGGAGACAAAAAGGCTGCATACCAGACACACAAACAAAAACATAGCAGTTATAGCGTGAAGTATCCAATTAGCATTTCACTGCATTAAATGTCAAAATGCAAAAAAGAAAAAACGAGTATTAAACTGTAATTTATGAGATTTGCAAACTGAGAATTGAATTTATATTTTCAGTTTAAAAAAAAAAATCTATAAAATATAGTAAAATGACAATGTGCATCAAATTAATCCAATCACAGTACAGGACAGATTAATGGGTTTCAGTCAGAGTTCTGTGTTCCACCTCTTGGAGTCGGAGTTGTGCTTCAGGATCAACAATGTCCTTCCAGTTAAAGTCCTCCAAACATGGACTTTGGCAACACATCAGCTGTGGAATGAACATAAGAGAACAATGACAGCAATGTTTTATTAACTCTGTACTGCTACATGTAATGCTCTACGATGAGGCTTTAGATTGAAAAGTGGTGTCATCAATATCAAATCTTTCTGAAAATATTCCATATTTTATGATGCATGTTATTCTTTTCTAAAGCATTTTCAGCAAAATGGTACACTTGCATCACATAGATCATTTGGCATAGTAGCACATTATATTAAACACCAGGATGTTTAGTACAATGTGTGAATTACATTTTTTAACTAGAAATGCAATACCGACCTTTTATTTTTCATGCAAAATGTAATACAATCATACATTCTGGTGAAAAATAAATTAAAAAAAAACCCCAATAATTCCCACATAAAATGAGAAGAATGACTGAAGTGTTTTAAATCTGGTGGACATTAAAACATTCACCCAGCATTTAGAAGGAATATTGCCCCATTGAAAGCCCAAGATAAAAACAAATATTTTTTAGGACTGAAACAAACAGATTAATTGATTATTGAAATAATCGTCAACTAATTTAGCAATCAATTAATCGTTAACTGGAGTATTGAGACTCTAAAGTATGCCTTTAGCTGATGGAGCAACCCACTTAGAGCAGTAATTATATAAAAATTGTAAAAAAAAAAAAAAAAAAAAAAAAAATTTTTACATTTTGCATTTAAGATAAAAATTTGTCTATTAATATGCCCTACCAAGAGAAAAAGTTTGAGTTAAACCAGTCACCTGGTTTATTTTCATAACAAAAAAAAAAACTTCTTTAAGGAACCTTCACTCCGATTATTAATTGATTCATTAAAAAAATAATTAACAGATTAATTGATTTGGAAAACAACTGCTGCTTGCAGCACTATATATATATATATATATATATATATATATATATATATATATATATATATATATATATATCTCCTTTCTGGCTTGTTTAATTGCGCAACACTTCTAATTGTCCAGACTGGTATGTAAAGACATGGATGCACCTGCTCAGAAAAAATGGCTCTGATTTACATATTGGAACCATGTTGCCATATACCGCCCTCCTCCCACAGTTATGACAGCAGAGAGTCACTTCTCTGTCCAGTTCAATTTTATTTATATTCGTTCTTTTGATAAATTAAAACCCCTTCATACAAGCAGGCTAACACAGAAAAATGTTAACAGGTGAGAATGTGTTAATATTTAATAGATGAAAAAATAAAATGACTAGTTTGGGAGTAAACATAATAAGCAAATCAAAATAATGAAGATGGAAATAATTTGTATTCAAATATTTTTGATGCTGTGACATTTTAATTCACTCCTAAACTCTGACTACTTGGCAGGATTTTTTCTTTTTTTTAGGTTAGGAGCTCTATACGAATCTCTATGATTATGGATCTAGATAAATAGACTTGGTTTGTCCTGATCTACTAAAGTAATTGTGAACAATGATGGTAAGACCCACTGAAACCTTTAGAAACAAGGCTGTAGAAACAAGAGTATGTTGAAAGGCCTCAGATAATAAATAAAAAGAATGAAAAGAACAGGACTTCTGAAACCAGACTTTTTAGTTAAATAAACTAACAAAAATGATTCCTTGAGACACTAGAAAATATGACCTTTCTGGCTCTAACAAATGGCAGAAATACACCAAGTGTGAAGCATAGAACTGAAGGTGGAAATGCTTTGCTGGAGTCGGACCTGGTACACTTGCAGTAATAACATCCATGTTGAACTCTATCATTTATCAAGAGGGTGCTTGAGCGGTCTGTCAGTATGTAAAAGATTAAGATCGAAGCTGAACAGGATCTTGCAACATGACAATAAGCCAAATCGCACCAGTACGTTATCTAAACAATCACTGCTAAAGCACTTCTGGTCAGATACAGTCTGCATTCCTTTGCTTTGAGATAAACACAGCAAAAAGGAAGTTGCATCTACTATGTAAATGTAAATTCACTGAGGAATGGCTAAAAATATGGACATAAACTTTAAATTGTGAAGTATCAAAAACTGATTTTAAATAAAACATGGTGAACCTATATGTGCAAAACTCTAAATTAAATGTAAAGTGAAATTCACCAAATTCAGACTTTATTTTATAATGTAAAACTGGCTTAAAACTGTGATAATTTGAATGTTAACCAGTTTGCTTTTAAAATGCATTTTATTGCATTAAAAATTCAGTCTGACAAATTCCACTTTCAGTTCTAGAATCCAGTTTTTTGTGCTACACATCCTGGACCTTTGAGAAAAAAAAAAGAAAAAGAAAGAGTAATTGAACAGAGATTCACCTAATGTCAAATGATAGCCAGCAAAACTAAGGTTTGTATAACATAGATGCATAAAAAGTTTCAGGTAAACTAATGCCTCTGGTAATCAAGCACCTCTGCATTTATCACCATCTATACCAGGGAATAGCTATCCTGTACAGTACAAGCCTGGAGCTTGAAGGGTCTTTGCAATATGTTAGCTGTTCCTTGGACTTTGCTCTTCTGGGCTGAGATGTCCAGGTATCTGTTGGAGCCCCTTCTGCCCTTGGTGTTTCTCAGATTTCTCATGTTCTTTTTCATGATGTTTCTATTATTACGGATGACCACAGCGATCAGTATGGCTGTCCTCCACTACTTATCAGTGATCACAATGTCCAGTTGGTTGGCCGCAACCTTTTTGACTGTATCTAGAGGAGGATCAGCACCTCCCAATCTGAAGCCATGGTTCTCCACCTGAGAAAGGTGGAATCCCCTATTCAGGTCGGTGGAGAGTCCTGGTCTAAATTGGAGGAGTTCAGATATCTTGGGGTCTTTTACACGAGTGAGGGACGGGGGAAACTTGAGATTGATAGACGGATCAGTGCAGCATCGGCAGTGATGAGGTCACTGTATAGAACTGTCATGGTGAAGAGGGAGCCAAGTCGGGGGACAAAGCTCTCGATTTACTGATCAATCTACGTTCCCACCCTCACCTATGGTCATGAGATCTGGGTAATGACCGAAAGGACATGTTCGCGAATACAGGCGGCCGAAATTAGTTTCCTTCGCAGGGTGGCTGGGAGCACCCTTCAAGATCGAGTGAGGAGCTAAGTTACCTGGGAGGAACTCTGAGTAGAGTCGTTGGCATTCCACGTCAAAAGGAGCCAGAGAAGGTGGCATCTGTTTCAAATGCTCCTTGGTCACCTCCCTCGGGAGGTGTTCCTGGCATGGTCCCATTGGGAGGAGGACTCATGAAAGACCCAGGACATGCTGGAGAGACTATGTGTCCTAGCTGTCTTAGTGTCACCTCGGGGTTCCCCCAAAGCAGCTGGAGGATGTGTGTGTGTGTATATCGGGAAGTCTGGGCATTTTTGCCTAGACTGCTGCCTCCTGCAACCCGGCCCCGGATAAGCAGAAGAAAATGGATGGATGGTATCTGGAAGACCCACATGATCTCAGCTCTCTAATTCTCCACCACATTGGGAGGCCATTTTGACCTGGGGGTCTCCAGTTTGTATTCTGCAGCAGCCACTTGGTTACAACAGTCCATGTATTCCTTTACTGCTAACATAATGCACTGTGCAGTGAGGGATTTTGTATGGTATGGTAGATTACTTTCAAAACAACACATTGGATTTTAAATATGTATGCAGATTCACTCTGGGCAATTCAAATTCATTATGCAAACATTTCTTAATAAAGTGCTAAATGTTCAACAGTATGCACAGTTTTAAACATGGGTAATTGACTAATAAGTGCAATTTATGTACTTTTAATTTTGATAAAAGTACAATAAGTTGATGCCTTTCAAACCAGGGGTTTAAAAACTGTCCTTCAGAACCACTGTTGTTTTAAGCATTTTCCTCCCTCCACACACCAGATCTTAACCGGCCACTAAAACCATTTGTTTCTGCTGAGGAGGGAATGTAGTCATTAGATTCAGGTGTGCTAGAGCAGAGACCTGGAGAGACCTTTCAAAACCAATGGTCTGAACAGTTTTAAAATTTGTCCATAAAAAAAACTACTAGTTTAAACTGGATATCCATAATCCATTGAATTTTGTGTATAGTTTCAGTTTTTTATAATCCCTACCTGGTAGAGTGCAGGATGTAGACAGGATGGCCCAGGTCCTCCATGAGCCAATGACCAGCCAATAAGAACACCCGCTTCATAATACATCCTGTCGTCAAGTGCTGTGAGGTCATAGGTCAAAAACAAACGCTCCGGACGTCCCTCAAAAACACAGCTGCGCTGCAGCTCCAGGAGAGTTAACCTGTATAAGAGGGAAAATGAAGATACAGACAAACAACTTGATAGTTTAGTGAACTCCATCCAACTTGTAACCAGCTGGATGGTAAGAATGTCGCAATTTACCCATTTAACTCGAAAACACCAGCTTGTTTAGACTTTGTACAGTTTTGATTTTCCTATGTAAAAGCTAGCCATTACTGACATTGCCCTCCAATAACTGTTTATTGTTTTGTTTTTTTAAACACTTCCAAACCATCATATGGCAACTAAGGCAAAGTTAATAGCTTGCTTTTGAGTGATTCCGTTTCAAACTACACTAACATTATTTAGATGTGGCTTCCTTTAAACGGGTTTGGTAGTTGATAAAAAAAAATAATAGTAATAAAGTTTAATTATTCTACCCTATAAATAAATAAATACAATTAAATTGCTAAAAGCCTGAAGGCAAGAAATCAAAGTTTTAATCCAAAAGATATTAAAGGTTAAAAAACTTTTTTCAGTTCTACATATGTACTAGTTAGCAGTCAAAACTGGTGGTTCTCTGTATAATGAGATCAGTCCAAACCTGAAGAACTCTGTAGAAGCTTCCTCGTAGGTTTTCATCTCCTCTTGGCTGAAGGTAATAACAGGTCTGGACCTGAAGCAGAATCCTGGTTTCCTCACCTCCTTCAGAGCAGTGGAAAGGACATCCTCCCTGCATACCTTGATGTATGTTTCTGTCTTTCCATTGATGGATTCTAGCCTGAACAATCTCAGGATGGTGTCCAGGTTGAGTGTGAGCTGCACATAAAACACAAAACTTTACTGGAAAGGCAGAAAGGCAGTGGTTGATCATAGCTATTACTTCAATCAGCTGATAAAATTTAAGGTTAAATGTAAAATGTAACCTTCTCCGGAGCCCTGCAGACATGAGGCTGGTTCTGTCCTACCAGTGGACTATGACTCCCTTTGCTGGCATCAGAAAAAAATCTCAGTGTTAGACTCTTGGTATATGTGTTGGTTTGAAATTGCTCTTTACATAAAATGCTTTCTTACCTGTTTAACACAGCTGATTTATTTTGTGAACTTTCAGACTGTGCCTGTTGCCATAAAGAAAATGTTATAGTTGAACTATTTAATGAGAGAATATTCTTTTTTTTTTTCCAGAAAAAATATGTTTCCCCTCATTGCATTCATACAGAGCCAGTTTACAACAAATAGTCTTAGATCAGCTTACTAAAACAGTTCCTTCAATAAAACAGAAATATCAGTCAATTACAAATGTTCCAAATGTTTTTTATTTAAATTGGTTAGAATGCCTTCCAAGAAAAGATTGCATTGATAACTGATGTCTTAAACTAAATTCTTAAAGTTTTGTTTATTTTCCAAGCAAATTTAGGAAAAAAAAAAATGATGTGGTACACCCAAAACAGGTTGCTGCTCTTATGGTTTCATCTTGACTAATGGGTTACAAAGCTTCCAAAATGTTTAGGTTAGGTGATTGACTTTTAACTTACAATAATTTTCCAATTTGAGTAAATTTAAAAATGAAATTTAGGATTCAAATATTAATTTAGGCCAATATACATTTATTTCAGGTATTTTGGCTTTTTAAAAAGGCAGCTGGTGATTTCAGTTTTTAAAAAGGTACTTTTTACTCCAGAAAATGAAATAAGCTTTATTGGAATCCTCATTCTGATTCACTGAGATGTTCTCTTATACTGGCTGAATGTATGATATAAGACAAAAATCTTCTGTCAACATAGCCGCATGGAGATCAGGCTTAAAAGGAAAGTATGCTGTATTTCACCTGTTTATAGTTGTAGTGACTAAATATATACAAAGCACCATGTTCACTGATCCTAAGTACTTGCTCTCCAGTCCAGCCCTCTGCAGGGGTTTCAGGGACAAAGAGCATCCTGGAGCCCTGCAGCTTCTGGAAAGTACAGAAAGGTTTAGGCTTGAAAGGGAGGACATCTTTAATCTGTGACTCAGTGCAGAGCGGATGAACACAAACCTGTAGATATGTGAAGGAAAACATTTGTCCCGTATTCCTTACAAAATGCCGGTGAAAAAGCAAAGCAAGGCGACCCTCCATTTGATCAGCTGACCAGGTGGAGTCCACCGTGATGCGAGCAGTCAATCCCATGTCTGCCAGAGCAGATTCTTGTGGAGTTATTAATCTACGGAAAGATAAAAACTTCCTCAATCAAAGGTTGAATAAATATATCAGTACCAGTGTTTTTCTGTGAAAGTAACACTTAAGTTGATATGTCACAGACATGAAAAAGTAATAAATAGACTGAATTGGTGCCAGTGAGGAATATGAGTATCGTGGAGTAAAAATGAGCACTGGGAGTTGATATTCAAGGAAGAAAAGGTTTTATTTTATTCTGCAGAGGAGAACGACACAAGACAGCTGAATACAGCTCTGAGTGTGATTCTGAGGTGTTCAGCAACCCACCCCTGCATATAAAGAGACTCCACACCACACAGACACTTTAGTTCATCAAAGGACATAAATTTGCTCAGATAAACATTTCAGATAATTGTTTCCCATCCATACCAGTAACAGGATGTGAGAACCTTGAACAGTGAAAACTTTTCCTTCATATCTAAACTAGGGAGGAAACTACTCAGGGTTCTAAATAATCACCCCTATTAAGGCAGAGAAAAAGCACACTTATAGACATTTTATCTCACAAGCAGGCCAAGGAAAAATATGATTCCAGAAAATCCATCCGGGCTTCAAGTCTAAAACATTGTTCAGACAAAAGTCTGATTCAATGAAATGGTTTTAAACTGCCTCTCAGTTGCCTTACCCCTCCAACTGTGCCATGTAGTGTTCTCTTGGTAGACAGATGACATCTTTTACCACATGGCGGATCTTTTGTGGATTCAGTTTCTTCCATTTAACATGACGAGCTTTGTTTGGGGACGACTGAAACAAACCACAGAACCAAATTGTAGTTTTGCAATACATAAACTACAAATCTGTGAAAAAAATTATAATAATAAAATCATCCCAGAGGAAAAGTATAATCTTTGAATAGAGAATGAACACCAGTGAAAAACAATACTCATGTAGAATATTTTTATACTGTATACAGAGATTGGTATGGATTAAATGCTACAAAACTTTATCTGAAAGACAAAAATAAAGATTTATAAAGTCACTTAAGTGCATTTAATGTACATGTTTTGAGCATTTGTGCATGATTAAAAAAAGGATATCTTTACAGAAAATGAAAATAAAGATTTACTGCACAATAAGGGAAAAACAATGGGTAAAAAAAAAAAAAAAACATGTTTGTGATGAATTATGATTTTGTGATGTAGAAAAATGTAGATTGTATTGGTTTTATGAAGTGTCCGCACAGACTGGTTGCCACATTCACATTTCCAGCCTTCCGAACCTCACCACCTTTACTATCTGCTGAACTTATGGTCTATTTTTAGAAGAAAAATAATATTGACTAAGCCTGATGCAGCCAGTTTAAAACACACATCATATCTGAGGTGGTGACACTTTTACACAGTGAGGGTCAAAATTAATAATCCAGTGAAAACAATGACAAAATAGTTGTATCGTTTGCTTTATCAAAATCTTTCTGTGCTGTGGGTAAAATTATATGTAGCAGTTTGTACATAAGAATGTAACAAAACCTGAAAAGACCCACCGGGGTGTCAGAGGCAGAATCACTGGATTTCATCTCCACCAGCTCGATATCGGAAAGTCTGATGGGGGGAAAAGACTGCAGGAACAGGAAAGAGAAGGAGATTTTGAAAAAAAGTATTTAAACAACTGCCAACATGAACAACATTTGATTGCATATCTTAAAATATCCCTGTTATGCATTGATCCTGGAAGACTCTCTAAATGAATTTGTGAAAAGTATGAAGGGCAACAATAACTTACCTCCATCTCAATGTCTGCGTCTTCTACCAAATCAAAAATATGCGAGCAACAGAGGGTCTCTTCACAGACAGAGGGTTTAGTTTTATTTTTTTGCTGCTGCTTTGGTTTTATCTCATCAAGCAGATTTTCATCCTCCTCTGGGTATGGGGCCAAAGGATGCTCCAAGTACCTGTACCTCTGAGTTTTAGAGGGGGAAATGGGTCACAAGATGTTTAATCGCATTAAACAAATGTTAAGGCTCATAATTTTTAAAAGCAGAATCCTTTTACATGTTTAGCACTGCTCTCCAATTTATGGGACATAAAAAAACAAACAAAAAAAAAACAAAGTGTTGTACTTTCCCTAAGCAATCTTTACTGAATCATCTCCATTGAGAGAAAATGGTTTGGGTTTTATAGGAATTATGCCCTGTCTTTATGTGCACTTACTGAATTCATAAAAGATTATTCAAAATTACCGAATGCAACGTAGTAACCATGCATGTTAGCGTTGTTTTGATTATATAAACACTGCAAGCCCAAAACTCCTTCATTTTAAAAGATTGTATAAAGTTGTCTTGACTTCAACGGAAAGATTTTACTTTGATTTAGGAAACAGTAGCCTCTGATCAATCGTAAAGTGCAAGAGATAAAATTCAGATTAATTCACTGCACTTTGAAACCCAAGAGTCTCCTCAGACATAGATTCGACTTCACTTTTCAAAATTGCTGTAAATTCATTAAGATTTCAAGAAGTTCAGTTCAGAATGTCTATGCAGACAGAGAGAGATTCAAATATTTGAGTAAAAAAGGACAGAAATTAGATGATGGAAAATTAAATGATTATTAGGGATTTTTTTTATTATCAATATGGTCAATGTAGAACATTTTTATTTTAAAATGTGCAACACACAACGTAATTACAGTTCTTACTCTTTTTTTTTTTCTTTTGATAAAACATTTTTTATTTTACTTTAAGAGTTAGGTTTTTGGAAGTTTTGGTTGTTTATATACAAGATGAGGCTGCATTATTTCTGCACTATTCCTAAACCATTGCAACAAATTAATTGAAATATGTTTCTGGCAAAGCAAATCTCCAAAAAACAGAAAAATTTCAGTCATTTAATTATGCATGGAGACTAAGGAACACTGCAAACAGGTAAGAGAGAGCGCTTTAGAGAACTTTAAAAGAGAGTTAGGTTATACACTTTTCTCACAGAGCTCTAATCAATCATCTGGAAATGCAAAGAATGTGGAAAAGCTGCAATGTTACCAAGACATGGTCTGTTTAAACTGATGGAATCAGAATCATCTTTATAGGCCAAGATTGTGAGCACAAACTAAGGATTTCACTTTGGTTTCAATCAGTTAAGTATAAAAATATTTTATTTAGAGGAAATGAAATTAAAATAAAAAAAGAACCAGTATGGTCATATATGTACAACAACCTGAAGCTTATTCTCCCAGAACTGATATTTTCAATCATTTTGATAATAGAAATAAATGTGGCGGCAGAAATCGGTCATGATGAAATGTCAAGACTGATTTCAAGAACAAAAATGTCAGCACATATTTCTTCACAGCTATGGTCACAAAGTATGAGGAAAATCATGTTTGCTAATTTGTGATGCGTGCAAATTGATCCCACCATGTGACTGTCTTTGGCTAAAAAATTTCAGCCTAACCTGATAAACAAGCTTTGTGCTCATCAGCTGATAATGTGTTGTTTAATCAGCAACATTTGATCAACGATCCAGTCACATATTGCAAACATTTATCGGAAAGTAAGAAGTATTTTCTGTATTTGATATTTGAAACAGTGTTTTATTTCAAATAGTCTTTTAAAATGTTGCTTGCTAAAGTTTGATTTAGGAAATAAGAACTCATGGATGATAACTGGGATCAGGTTTTCTTTATATTAACTGAGCATCTTGAAGAGCATACCTGTTCAAAGGCGTTTTCCTCCTTTTTTTCCTGTGTGGTCACCATCTCACATACTTCTTCTGAAGAGAAGAGCCTCATCTCAATGTTCTCTGTGATTACCAGATACGCAGGCCTTCTGTCACACAGCCTCATCTTGTTCCGATCAAAACAACTTCTAGCACTTCACAGGTCTATCTCATCAGAGGTTTTCTCTGCAGTTAACCTGCTCATTCCTTGCAGGTTTCCTATTTACTCTTCAAGTTTTAGCCCCAGAGAAGAGGCCTCCCTGATTTTACAGAACTAAAGTTGTCCCCCTTTCAAACACCTGAACAGATGAGTCCTCATCAACTCAAGCTGAGCTCTATCACAGTTTAAAGGTCTGGTTGGCTTGGATCTTTACTCCTGTTTCTGATTGGTTCTGTTGACTTCTTGAAGCTGTTCATTGGTTCAGTGGTATCTCCAGAACTGAAAAACCTTAAGAACTTTTTCATTGATTAGGAAAAATCAATTTCCGTTTTCAGATAATTTGATTTAACCTTTAAGATAAGAAAAGTGTATTTAACAAGTACACATAGAACATAATGCACATGATACCTACTTTGACACCACAGTTGTGCTTCAAAGAATAACCAATCAAAACCTTTTTTTGTATCTTTGTTATTATTTTGATATTTTATTCAAAAAATATTTTTCTTTTCATTTTAAATCAAATAAATTATGACTTTCATGCTTTGATCTTCAAGCATGTCATTAAGTTTTTACAACTATTAGTTTTTAAAAAAATTTGTTTACTCAAAGTCACACGTAACAGCAACAGAATGTCATCTGTCTGCCCCTTCAGCAACTCAGACCCCTGAATCAATACACCCGACAAGATTACATTAGTTTGACGAAAACAACACAAGTAGGGGTTGCTAGATAATGAACCCCCTTCCAGACAGAGGAGAGCTAAAGATGAGTCATTTCAATCACTTACCTAAACTACTTCCCTGGGATTTCTATATTAACTGGACCAAAAAAGACCTTTTATCTTCTTTTCTTGTATACAGAAAATTTGTTAAGGCCATGATAAGCTTAATAAAATCATGTCAAAGATTGAAAGTAACCTCCACAAAAAAAGAAAAAGCCAAACAGGGCATATTTAGAAGATAATTATCCACTTGGTACATTGTATTCAAATACATTATTGGAAAGCTGAGTACAAATATCTTGTTAAAAAAAAAAGAAAGAAAAAAAAGGTATACATACATACATATCTATATTTAAAGGGGATCAACTGGAGTCAGAGCTTCACATTTATAACACTCAGATTCCCCGTGTTCAGCCAGTCTTGAACCAGACACACAATAAAACTCAGATTCACCTTAAAGGACCTTAAAGCAAAAGAATTCAACCGGTCATTTTGTTCCATTTTTTTAGACAAACTTTTGCTTTTAATTTGGAAATCAAGGCCCCAGAGTCTGCAGGAAGAGCCAGGAGGCACAGAATCAAAGTTCCTGGCAGTTCAGAGGGAGGTTTCCACAGTCACCAATTATTTGGAAAATCATGTGTTTGTTGCTGATGATTCAATGTGCTTTACATAGTTTGAATTCTGCAAAATAATCCCAATACAGACACTGCTACACTGCGTATTGCTAATGTTTATCTACTCCTATTGCAATATCAATACAACTGTTGTGAGATCTATGCAGCAAAACTTTATTTGCATGCACAGAGTGCATGCAAAATGACAAAAAAGTTAAATGCAGTATTAATGCCACCTGTACCATTGGCGGAGCTCCTCTCTGGTCGCCTCCATGCCGCCCAACACTGATGCACTATTTACACTTAGATTGGGTTTTATATTACAGAGACGGAATTCTAGGGTTTAATTGGCTATAAGTGATGGTGAAAGTTTCTGAAATAAATAAAGTTTTCCAATGAGATGCTGAGAACATGGTTAAAAAAAACTGTTTAAAAAACAAAACAAGGGCACAATTAGCTTACGGTGGCTGGTTCCTGATTTATGTATATCATTAAATAACATATCCAACAATAAACATCTATTAAAATCTTACTCCTTTCAGTATCTTTTTACAATCCAGTTAAATTGAGATTAGAAAGCTCCTGACATCCTGTTAGATATTTTGGTTTGATTCGCCACACCAGGATTATCAGTGCCCTCATCAAGAAACCCGAAACACACAATTTCACAAGTCATTCCTATGAATCTTTATAATAAAACCTAAATAAAGTAGTTTATCCAGAAAGATATGGGGGTCAGACACTGTTAGAACCATTAAAGAAAAAGGAAAGGCAACCTATATAAAAATGTAGTAAGAATACATTTATTCTCATTAAATGCCAGAGCAAAACAAATCTAAATCAGTCCTTATGTTCAATGTTGCCGTTTCAACACCAAAGCATTTTTTAATCAACTGTGAGAAAAAAAGAAGGAAGCAGGAAGAAACATCTGACTTGAATCCAAGTAATAACATGTCTGATTTTACAGACTGAAGTCGGTAAAATCAGTCAAAAGCTCCATAATTTTATCTTATTTTTTTAAACATATGCAGAAGGAAATAAATACACTTTGATGAAAAGTCAAATGTCTGATTGTTTTAAATCCTAGAATAGCAGATTGTCTAAGGCTATCAAGTAGTGGCGGTTCTAGACCAAATGTAACAAGGTGCTAGAAGGGGGCCAGCGTGTTTTCACAGAAAAGCATGAAATAAAAAACAGGGTGACGGATTCAAATATATTAAGACAGCTGCATGAAGTGAAATTTCTATTCAATTAGATTAGATATCTTATTAGGTCAATATACATTTATAATTTAGGAATTTTACACATTTTGACTTCATGTAAGTTAAAAATTACCGTTTTCTATACAATCTGAATTATAATTCAAGAAAAACTGATAAATTCAGCTGTAAGAATTAGAGTATTGTTTAAATTTGTTTTGACAAAACCATTTAGCAGATGAAAACTGGGATCCTATCTCAATACCACTGGAGCTATCACCTTATTGTTTTTAGACTAGTGAAACAGAATTTGTAAGGGAAAAAAAATGTATAAATCGAAATAACCTATCAGTAACCATGTCTGTTCTAGTACATATCATTATCAGAATTTCTCTGAGCATTATGCCTCCAGTGCAGGGGCCATAACAGGAGCCAGGACATGATCTACAGGGGCACTGGCCCCTGTTGGCACCTGTCTTGAACCACCCATGCTTCCCAGAAACATACAGACACAGCAGGCAGAACATCTGCTGATCTGTTTATGGACCTGTGCCTAAAACACAGAAGCTCAAACTGCTCCCCTTCAGATTTTAAGTCCTGAAAATCTTCTGTCCTTTTGCTCATTTGACTCTTCGTATTTTAGGTCAGCAGGTGTCTTTGGCTGCACGTCAACAGGTGAGGCAGGAAATACGACGCTGTGCCGTCGTCTGGTATAAGCTCCAGGAACTCTGCGGGGCTTGTCTCCATTGCAACCACAACCAGGGTCTCTGTTGGTATGAAAACCAGCATTATTACATTCATCTGACGATTTTGTGTCATTCTTACCCGTAAATTACCAAAAAAGCTCATAATATCAGATATTCATGTAGGGTTTGAACATCTAAAAAAAAAGAAAATTCACCTTTGAGAGCCCCGAGCAGGATGCTGTTATCAGCAGCTGCCCTTGTTCGCTCGCACAGCTCAGGGAGAAGCTTCTTCCACCAGAGAGACTATAAAGAACAGAAAACTTAATCAGATGGTGAAAATATAAGTTAATAAATAAGTGACATGGGAACATAGTCATGCCGCACTCAAAACCAACCATGTGTTTATCTTGTAACTGGTGGTTGGCGTAGGCTATAATGGCCTGTGGACACCGGTCCAATAACTGCTCGATGCTGCTGTTGTAGTGACCTCTTCTGGTGTCACAGAGGAGGTGCAGGCTGAAGGCCCACAGGGTTTCCTCAGACAGACTCTCCAACAGAGGCGCAACGGTTCCGACAGAGAGAGACGGACCACATAGCAGGGACTGCAGGCAGAACAACAGGGTCCATTAGACTAAAATCATTGGAAGAAGGAAACAAAACGCAATTCAAAGAATTACAAATATCAAAAGCTAAAAATATTCAATGCTTAATTGGCCGAAAATGCTACTGTATGGCCTTTATTCTTAGCCATTAGGTGGATATCCTTTCTGTATGTAAACAGATGTATTTCAAGTTAAGTTAAGAAAATGGCAGAGATGGTATTTTATTTTTTTATAATTTAATTCAATAATCAATGACCAAATTATCTAGAAATTACATGAAGAACTCTTCCTAAAGGAGGTATTTGGAGCAATGAGGAGTCATAACTACAACAGAATAACACAAACTAAGAGGGAACACTTGTAGCCCATATCCTGGATGCATCAGGGTGTGGTGCTTGAAGCTCAGAGTACAGCAACGGTTTTGCAGCAACAGAGCTTTGCTTTACAATCCTTTCAGAGACTGCCTTTATCCTTGTTTCCTTTGAACTTTTTCCTTTCACTTAACTTTTGAACACAAAATGTCACTATGGGCAAAGAATGAAATGTTGATCTCAGAAGTATTTTGTTATATATCTACCATATATAAGTTCAGTGTGTTTTTTAGTTGTACTTCTGTATTTGTTTCCTCCATTTTCTCTTCCATCTCTGCTATTCCCCTCCTGACAAAATATATGGGTGCATGACATGAACAATTGCTCAATTTGGGATGCAACAACCCATGTAGATTTGGCACCAATACAAAGATTTGTGTAAATTAAGACGGATATGATATTACAACCCTTCTAGATCACGTGACCCAAGGGAAGGAAAATGCCCAATTTACAGTAGCAGACTCCCTCACTAACCTACTTCTTTTGCAGAGCCATTTTTTTCTACAAGACCTTCCAGAGACCAGATTCAGTGGGGCATCAGATGTTTATATAGTGAGCTTGACAGCGGTGACAGCCAATCACACAGGAAAAGATGGATGTCAAATCAGGACATTGTGGGCGATCTAAACTCAGGGAAGCGGGCTTCAGCTTGAGCTGTGGTTTTCAGCTTGGTCCCAGTGCCCTATGATTGTCTATGTACTGTAGTGTAACATTGTTTGTTGGACGATAAAAAATGCAGGGGAGGAAAATGGACTTTTGAAAAACATCACACCGATCTGTCCATCGATCTTACACTCCATCCGTCCCTCACTCGTGAACAAGACCCCGAGATACTTGTACTCCTCCATGTCCCTACCTAAATATGATAAATGTAGCAAAGTACAAAAAGGATTAAAGACATCTCGTGGGCAACCTTCTCCCTAAAATAACAATGTTTGGGAAGGATTGTGAGACCAAAGCTAATGCTTCTACGATAGAAATAAACATACCTGTTAAGAAATATTTTTTTAGAAGACATAAGGTATTATTGGAATTTTAGCATCAGAGAAATTGCATATTTAGATATACCTGCAGTTTGTGAAGCGCTTCCCTGTGGTGGTAGCTGAAAGTTTGAGCTGGGTCCAGGACACTGAGCCATGGGTAGAGAGCCCCGTAATGAGAGCATGAATTGATCTGAAACAAGAAGTTAGGAAACGTGAGAACCTGAAATCATGTAGCGAAACGGGGTCGTCAGGAAGAAAATCTATGGACTAAAGATGAAAGTGGAACTGTACCAGGTCATCTGCACTTTTCAGGGACTTGTGTTTTGTTAGGGATTCATTGGCTGTCAGTCGGTCGATGTAAACTGAAGCCAGTCTGAACAGAAGCTCCTGAATGACGGGATCCTGGGAAGAGGCCATCAGCATCGCCTCCCAAAAGTCCACCTGTAAGGTGTTTTCATATCCCAGCTCCTGCACACATATAAACATAAAAAAATTCTTGCCACCAGTTTCAGAAACCTCATTAAAGTCAGTGTAGTGCTACACCATTCAGATTGATAATAAGCAGCAGAGAAGCAGACCTTAAAAACTTGATCCGCCTGTTCCAGCTGGACCTTACTGTTCTCATATAAGGCAACCATGGCAGCCACAAGCAGTCCAGGCTGGGAGTCTGCCAGCTGTCGGGCCAACGCTGTGGGACAGACCTGGTTATGTTTGGCTCCTCCGCCGCCATGCAGCAGCAACCTTGGCTCCTCAATGAACCCATACACCAGCAGCATCTGAGTGGAGCCCACATCGTTTAATGCATACAGAGCAGAATACTGTCACACAAAACATACAACACATCCATTTGTAAATAGTGTTCATGTTACATGAGTAATTTGGTGTTTTACCCAGAATGTAATAACTAGAATGAAAAAATATGGAGCCGTTAGCATTTGTAAGCGACTGCATCATCTTCACCTCAGCATGTCTCTCCATCAGCTCTGTGTACTGTGCCACGGCGCCCAGACGCAGTGCCATGGCTGCCATGCTGATTGTCAGAGGCACAGACACACCCATGGTGTCCTCCAAACGTCTCAAGGTCTGCAGCGTTGCAGCGGGGTCAAGGTTCACCATGCAGGGACTAGCACACACACTGACGAGTATCGAGGGCTCCGACTTGCTGAGTATTCGAATGACATCATCTGCATCTTCCTGATAGGACAAAGGAATGAAACAATTCAATAAGAGTTGATTTCAGCTTCTTTTTCTGAGCTGAAAAAATATCTATGATGCAGATGAACTCATGTGCTCTTTATACGAAAGCTTGATATGTTGCAAAGGGGGGTTTTACCTGACTGAGATTCTGGTCCATTTCCTCTAACAGGTAATGTTTTAGGTAAAACAGAAAACCAGGTCCATAGGAGTGAGGGCTGCCTTGAAGTGGGCGATTCCGGGATATGACTTCAGTGACCGACAGACCGGACATCCTGTAGTACGGCAAGGCCAGGTGGCAATCCTTCTGACTACCCCTAACAGGACAAACGAAAAGAACCTAGTAAGTACTGACTTACTACCCATAAAAACCAGAGGTTTCCAAACTGCTCTTGGTGGGCCACTCTGATTTGAAAAAGTTCTTACACCCCATCTGACCCAGATTTGACAGTTGAAAATAAAAGAGTCAACTGCAATAAATCGTTAATCAATAAAATAAACGGCCATCTTCCTTTTATTAGAAAACATCCACTTTTAAAGTGTCATAGCTTTACGTCTAGTAGATTTCAACATTACCCTCAATTCATATTTTCTAAAATACCTCTCAAAATTGGTCATTTATCCAGTCCATTTCCAACATGCCCCATTAGCAATTACGCTAAGCCCCGCCTTTGAAAACCACTACTTTAAACTACAATGAAACAAATTTACACAAAAAATGTTAAGGAATTTATAAAAACACAGTGATCTAATAAAGTTATTCTCAAATATCACAATGAGTCATGTGAGGAAACATATGTGTCAAATCAGCATCACTGATAAAACCTTATTTAATGACTTTGGTTTATTCCTACCAGGGCTGCAACTTACGAGAATTTTGCTAATCGATTAATCTGAATTATTTTTTTCAATTAAATCAATAAAAAAAAAATTGGATAGCCAACGGTTCCTTAGAGAACATTTTTTTTTTTAGAGAATTAAAAACGATTAAACTAAAACTTTTCCACTTGAGGAGTTCTGGATAGAGCATGTTGACAGAAGAAAAACATTTTTTTTACTCTTAAATGCAAAATATTTATAGATTTTTTTTTAATAGTTTGATAAATGGCTGATCTAAGTTGGTTGCCCTTTCAGCTAAATTGATGTTTTAGAGTCTCTATATTCCAGTTAACGATGAATCGATTACTAAATTAGTTGACAATTATTGTAATTATCGATTAATCAGGATTAAATTATTTCAGCCCTAATTCTTACCCCTGAGGGCTAATCTTAATCCCAACAGTGAAGGATGAAAAATCTAAACCTAAGATTAGTGGATTTAATATAAATTAATTGAATTTACATTGAAGCTGACCTTCAGTGTACATTTCCGGTATTGATTGTAACAACGGAGGTATGGTACAGTACAGTACTCAAGGAAATATTTCATAACATCAGTTTTGGGCTAACGGTAGAGACTTCAGCAGTATTGCAATGCATAAAGGGAGATAATAGGGACAGACAGAATCAGACTTGCCGATTCACACACGATGTAACTGAAGAAAATAAAATATTATTTTAGAAGATATTACATTAATGTGGAAAAATATTTATTTCCAATGTAATATACTGTAGTTCTTCCTGGAAAGTGTAATTTTAACTGAACATGTCCTGGCGGTGAACTGGGAAAAAAAAAAAAAGAGTTAACACAGCCCTTGTGCCACCTGCTGAAACTGTCTCCAAGCTGGGCACAGTTCTGCCTGAACGCCTCCTCCAGCTCCTCCCTGTGTGTCGGAGCAGCCATATTTCTGTCACATTTGCCGCTCTGCTGCCGCTCCGATGACTCCAGCAGGGCCGAGCGGAGGAGGAGGTGAGCTTCACTGAGGAGGTGTCGAAGCCCTAGGCCCTGAGGGTTATTCTCTGCATAGCGCTGGCTGTACTCAACCTGGCACACATACGCAAGACAAAAAGACTCAAGTTCACTCCAACATATACAGTCTTTGAAAAAATATTATTAGAACACCTTTGACATCAGAAATAATAGAAAATGCAATAAAGTACTAACTGTGCATCATATAACTAACTTATAAACTAAATGTATGCTTCTTTAATCAAAAACATAGAAAATGGCTGAATCTCACCACTTAAACTTATGAGCTATCTTTGTTTTAATTTGGTTTTTATCATATCTGTCTGAACCAATTGTACCTTTAGTTGAACCAGACAATAAATTGAGCAAGAAAGTAAAATCAGAAGGATAGTCTAATAATTTGATGACTGCGAACAACTGCAGGGTCTAAAAGCCAAATAATAATATACAGTTATTATTTATATGCTTAATAGTGCAACAATTTAAAGTAATTTCATTTCACTTACTTTTTAAACTGCTTGGTTAAAAAATAAAAACAAATACAAAGACCCATTATGAAATGTTTAAAGCCCCAATGTTTAAAGCCTATGAATAAATATTATAAAGAGCGATGTTGGTTATGATGAGAAAAACTTTCGTAGCTCTTTGTTACCATTTCCTGGTAGAGTGTGAGGGGGGGTACGGTGTTGACAACATAGAGATTCCAGCCATGTCCAACCGTGCTGGTTTCTTTGGGGGATGAGATCGCCCACCTCCTGCTCCTGAGGTTGAAAAGAGGGAGGAAAGATAATAACAAACACGGCTCATCCTGAACAGTTAATGATTTTGGGTTTTATGCTGCCTATCTTTCCAGCTGCTCTCCAAAATCCTAAAAAAGTGTTTAGTTCCTGTTTAATTTCACTTAAAGTCATCAAACTTTGGGTTCAATAAAAAAGGGGGGGGAAAGCTCATTCAGAAAACATCTTTATGTTTGTTCAGTCTTGAAATAAAAATATTTAGGTATTGATGCTGAGCGATGTGAAAAGCCAAATCTTTATCTTGCATATCAGGTCACTGAATGTTTGGAGGCAGTTTTGCCGATGAGTCATGCAAAACTGACAGTTTCTGGTTTTCTTCTGATTGAGCATTACGCCTGATAAGTAGAAACTCTACACTGTAATTGAAAAATTCCAATTTTGGACAAATCCTTTCGTAAAAATTTACTCCACAGGAAAATCACAACTTGTGGAATCTGGTTGTCTTAGACACTCAAGGGATTTTTTTTTTTTTACTCCTACCTTATTGGGCACCAGGTATTAAGAAAGTTATTGAGTTTTTTCCTGCTTTACATTTACATTAAAGCAGAAAATCTATGATAACTCAAAACTGAAATAACGATTCACTTTAATTTTTGCTCCAAAAACTTATCCCCAACCAAAAACACACACAAACACAACATGGAGTTATGACGAGCAGCTCAGCCCTGAAGGAGAGCGCTTCAGTCTAAACCTCATTGCAGGGAAAACAAATGAGGTTTGAGAGTTTTTTTTTTTTTTTCCAGAGTTTAGACTGAGTTTAAATGAGGCTGCACATGCATGATAAACAAACAGAGAGGAAAGTGTTTACCTTTTTTATAATTACCATTATGTAATTACATCCCTTTAACCTCTCTGAACCCATGCAATCAAAAACAATAGAAGAGCCAAACTGACATGAGCAGAGGAACACTGAAAACACTGAAAACAAAGAAACAGTTAGTCTATGGTTAGTTCTCACGAGGTAACAAGGCTATCTGAGGGATTGGTGCAAAGTCAACAACGCAAAGTAAGGGACTGTCCACTGTCTAAGTGCTTATCTAGGAGGAATGAAATGTGAAAATCAATGACTAGATGCAATCTGCTGGGTTTCCTTAAAGGTATAGTGGAGGATGTTCTTTTTCCAGGTAGATCATTAAAATAATTGGTCCTCCTAATTGTCAATCATTCTGGTGATGCGTTTACGTAAGGCATTCCTATGTGCTCGTCCCCATTTTCACCTACCGGTAGGGAATCTGACATAGTGGAAAAATTGCAAATCTTCTTTTGGAAATTAAGCTTATATGAGCGATGCAAACAGCAACTTTTGAACAGAGCCTGCATGAGGAGAAATGGGCTCATGCAGGCTCTTGCACACCTTTGATAGGCGTTCCCTCTTGGGAGCGGGTACAGGGTGGTGCAGGTGCATATTTTTTGGTGGAGAGGGCAGGTCTTTTCAAAAATTTGCAAAGATCCCCCACTATACCTTTGAGCCAAACCAATCTGTCTGTATGATTTGATTAAATTGACTATGCAAAGTCTATGTGTTGTTATATTGGTGCTAAATAAACAGATTTTAAGTTGATTTACATGTGATTCTTTCGAAGAAGCTTGAAGTTTCTGTGTTGTCATTTTTGCCAGAAATTAAGAGCTTTGAATGCATGGTGAGACTAAAGACCAATATGAGGGCTACTGTAATATGTTTAGCAGTTATTGTCAGCTATTTTTTAAATGAGTTGGGCTCGAAAATAAAGAAACTGTAATAAAATTTGGTTAGAACAGCATCAGAAGTTTCATTTTAGTCCACACGTTCATGTTGACACCACAGATTTGCTGACCAACGAGGGGCACACACTGGGTGCAGTTAGGAGAGTTAAGGGCAGCGAGGTTTCAGCTCTAAAAAGGGAGCTTTTGTCTCTTTTAGAACAAGCTGCAGCATCACATATATGTATACCTGTTGGAGCATACTAACTTTATAAATAATTTGTCTAAAAATATTATTTATGCTGTAGCTAAGCACAAATACCAATGCCAAAATATAAAATTGGAAATTGTAAACCTGCCTTTAACAACACAATATGTGAAAGATGCCCTTATTTATAAATAAGGGCATTAAAAATGCAAAATTTTCATTTTTTACCCCACAAATACATACAACTATGCTTATCTAAATCATTTTGATATAAATAGTCCTATAAATAAAACACCTTGCATAAAGCATAAATAAGAGTCCTAACATAGAGTTCTTTGGAGAGGTCTTCACACAAATTACATTTTTTATGTTTTCTTGAGATTCAAGAAATAAACGCTTTAAAGCAATAGTACAAATTTCTCACCGGAGAAAATAAAAATCCAATATTCTTTTGCAATATTTGCTTGAAAAACAATACTTTAAATGTAAAAATTATAGTTTTAAAAAAGATCTGTGTCTTCTGATCTTTGATTCAGTGTTATTAGGCAGTCCTTGCTTGTTTTTCTACAGAGCTTTGTTATGAAGGGCTGTAATAGCGTGAATTCATACTTTGCATATAAGTCATTTAAAATTGACCATGAAAAATTTGCACCTCATTGTAAACGGAAACGTCATCGTAATCTAGCCAAAAGCTGCTGAATGCAAATACTTATCAATTCCAGGCTCTTAACTCATACTACTATGATTATACTAAGAGACATGATTACGGATTGGATCGTTTTAGACTGTTTTAGTTTCAAATTGATCACCAATTAAATGTTTTATGGAAACTTGTTGTAAAATCACAACTAGCTGTATTTTACACAAACTCATTCTCCTTCTAGTTTTACATTATGCAACTAAATTACAAATTTACCAAAACAAAATCTTATTTTGCTTCTTTCTTAGCCAATATCCTTTATCCTTTTTAAATTTTTATCTTTCCTAATTATAAGTAGTTAGGAAATTAAATTATAAATAATTTATATCAAACGAGAGAAACCAAATAATAGAGAAATGGAATTTAAATTCCAGCTTTCCGAGACCAGGCAAATACAGGATCCAGCAAGCCCCATTGTAAGGGGAGCCTATTCTGCATGTAGATTTAGATGCATAACAGCTGATTTATGCAGTTCTAAGGTTTGGAACCCCACCATCTCCCAGTTCAACTGAAGAAGCTCATTGAATGAAGAGGAAAATGTCTTTAACTACGGATCTGGGGTCCAGTTGCTGTTCCAGTTTATTTTTAACCTTTGTTCGGATTTACCATGACCTGGATGACACAAACTCTTCACCAGTAAACAACGGTTTAAGTCATTCCTTTTACAGATCTTAAGGAGCAATTAGAAAGCATGTTTTAAGTTTTTTTTTTTTTTCTTGGTGTGGATATTTTATTTTGGGACAATAGGACAAAAAAACTATTAATATTCCATTTACAGGTGAAAAATTAGAAACTATAAGGATAAGAAATGAATATACTCAATAGAAAACACTAAAGCTTCATTATTTGATTTCATTTGTATAGGGTAAAAAATATGTTCTTTTTATTTCTCTAACAAATTTCTTTGTAATCACATAAACAAATGTGGTCATCTTTTGACAATGGGGTAATTTTCTCATCATCACAAGAAAGCAGATGTCGTTAAAGAAAACTCCCACAGAGTTTGTTTTGATTGGATGGCTGCTCTCAGCTTTCTCTAAAAACAGCCTTTTATTTATCAAGGTTTGTTTAAAAGCGAAAGCTGATGTCAATAATTACAGTGAGATTTTAAGTTTTGTTGCAATGCAGCTTGATCTAAAAATGACAACCAACTCTCGGGGGGTGGAGGAGGGGGGGTGTTTGGGATTGTCTTACAGGAAGGGGCGTGACAGAAGGCTCTCCAGAGCAGGTGTGGTTGCGGGATCGATTCCCACGGCAAGGAAAATAGCAGTCAGCATGTTGTGCTCTTTCAACTCACTAAAATAATAACACACATATGTACAATAAAAAAAGGTTTATAAATACATGCATGCTGAACTGTGTGAACACTTAACTAACTAGTGTTTTATAACAACAAGCAGGAATTTAATAAGATAATTTGATGAAAACCTTTAAAAAAAATAAAACGGATTATACCATGGTCTTGGTGAGTCCTTGTTTCTGATTGGCTGTAGGGTCCGTTCAGCGTTGGTCAAAAATATGTTGATTGATCCTAAATATTGTGCTGGCTCTGTCTAAAATTATACGTCGTATAACTTAACATAACTTTAAGCCATGGTGGTCCGAGCTGTAGGTAGGACAAAGCCAGTTACATTGGCAATGTGTCAAAACAACATATATCGAGTTCTCCACTCAGTCACTTCATGTAGAAATGTTTTCTTAATGGTTTAAAAAAATTATGACATGTCATTAAATGATTTAATATTCATATATTTACTAAGTGACCATGGTATAAGCTGGATAATGCCTCACAAGGTCTTATAATAATCAAAAATGAATAGACTTCACCTAGCATGGTTTATGCCTCAGTTTTATCCATTCATTTATGATAATAGGAACCCTGCAGCCATTAGCCATTAAATATCCCATAATATGTAAAACCTGAGTATGTGTGGCTCTGGATACTGTATGTGTGTGACTTACAGGCCCCTGCGTTGTGTGTGTCGTTCTGTTTCCTCTGGAGTTTCTGTGTCGGCAGTGGAGAGTAGAATAACATGGCAACCATAGGCACACACTGACTGCAGACCAATAAATAACTGCATTCTGAGCGCACACACCTCCAGGCTGCACGGTGGACAAGCCTGTCAACAAAAATAAATAGATGCTTATTTACCTATGAACCGACACGATATGGTAGCAGTTCTAAATGGTCTTTGTCCTGTTCCTTTCAGATGTATCCCTGCTTACACCAACCTGAATGAAATAATAGTTTATTAGCCGTTAGAATCTCTCCCATAATGCATTTACTGTTAGAAGCCTAAAAAACATTATAATCTGAGCTTTAACCAGATTAATTAAAAGCATGAATTAAAAAGTATGGAAAATTAACAACTAAAAAAAATTAAAAAAATATTGAAAATGATCCCTCAAATTCTTTCTGTAGTTTACCAAACAGATTTTTTTTGTTCTCTTATTGTAATTCATCTAAAATATTTTATTCATTGTTCTGAGAGGTATTGATGAGATCAATAAAACTTTGTAATATGCCAAAATATCACACTTAAACATTTCTTATAAGTTAAATTAACCTTCATGGTGGTGTCAATGTAGGGGTCCTCAACCCTGGCTGCTACTGCTGAACAACGCACAGTGAAAGACTGCAATGCATTCCTGCAAGGCAAAAACAGAAGAACATGTTTATATTTGCTTTACTTTGAATAAAGAGACAAACACAGCGCAATAAAAGTTATGCAAATACTTCAGTATTTTCTGAAAAATATTCTACAAATTTCTATATAGATTATACAGTTTTTCTATGATTTCCTCCAGTGTTGCTAACTTACTTTGTTATGACATGCAACAGGTGATCTGTTAGCACCGCCTGCAGCACCTTCTCCGGATACTGATAGGCAGAAAGCAGCTCAACTCCACCCCTCAGACTGTACAGGTATCCAGCAGTCGGAAGAGAAAAGAAACAAAACATGCAGGCTGGCTCATCCACAGACACCGATTGGTTACCTGAAGAGATAAGAATACTGAATATTATCTCCTTTGAGCACAACTAATGTGGTTTATTATCATCTATATCAATCAAGTCTAAGTCTGTTAGTCATCCATGATTGAAATCAGATTCTTTGTTAGAAAGATTTTATAATTCTTGTCAAAAATGACAATGTGTTCATCTTACAGGTGAACATTGGGTAGATCTGCAGGGAGTGTAGCAGCATCTCCTCCACACTACAGCCTTGAAAGAACTCTGGAGTAAACCGCCTGCAATAGAGATGCAACACTAGTTCAGGTCTCTATACTTGTACAAAGACATGCATTTCTAAAACAAATAACACTCACGCACCTAAAAAGAACATAGGACAAAGTATAGTGTCTGCTTTCCTCCATTCCAGTCTGTTCGATGTTGATGGGGATGTCACACTCTTTGGCTCGATCACCGAGCAGCTCCTGGTGTTTGGGAATAAGCAGGAAATCGACCTGGTCCTCTTGATGATCTGCTGAACACATAGTGCCTGCTCACAGGTTCACATTTTCCACAGAAAAAACACAGACCTCTATGAAAAAACAGTAAGGAAAGGTTAGGTGATGGAAGTCTATTTTTATGATGATGCCAATGTGAGGACAGAGCTATAAATCAGAAGCGTTACTTGAAAATTGTTAAAAACAATACATGCATATGTAAATTCTCATCATGCTGTCATCCTGTCAGGGCAACCAAAAAGCAGGCTTAAAATGGAAGGCAAGTGACTTTCACAAAGACTTTACACACCTATCCAGGAGTCTTTGTCAATTAAATTGACGAGGACTCCTGGTATAAAAAAAACAAAAAAACAGTGAAAGTCCAATTACCTTCCAAGTTAAGCCAGTTTTGTGGTTAAAACAAATATCAGAGAAATAAATAAAATGGTTTAAACAGTTTGATAATTTTATTAAAAGCTGTAGTAAAGTAAAAAGTTTTGAGTCTGGATTTTAAAAAAGTTAAATTTTCTACGCATTTCTGTTTTGTTTTTTTTGGTGATTTTTTTCCACAGCTGAGGAACCAACAAAGCAATTTCTGCTGCAGGTTGTGTTGTTCTGGAAAAACCAAATAAGCAGGTCACTAAAAACCTAGCCCTGTTTATACGGCTTACCCATGATCATTTAGTGCCAAGTAGACAAATAGGAGAAATGAAAATTATATCTTTAAATTGACCATTTAACTGCAGTTACAAAAGTCGGTTGAGAGGTGTCAGTATCAGCTATACATCAACTGACTGAAAATGTAGCACATCCGTCTCTACAAAATACCTCAATCTCTTAAATTAAATGGTCAATATTTAAGAGCAGCTTTTTTCAAGTTTTTCTCCACCTAAAGGTTGAATTTAGTTCTGGACTTTGACGGAACTATTCAGACCATGAATATGCTTTCACCAAAACAACAGCATTGTACCTCTGGAAGTCTACTTCCAGAATTTATCTGCTTTTTCTCACAATTCCTACAAAATCTGACCAGTTTCCTTGTCTTCACAGATTAGACTTGACTGCTTCTTTTATTAACGCTCTTCTAACTGAGCTTGGTTGTTTTGATGGATGGTCATGCCTCGGTAAGTATGGACTTGTGCTCTCCTCTGCAACTTTTCACCTGACCTGTCTGCAGTATCCCTTACTCTTCAGGATCAGGGTTGGAGCTACATGGGTACGTACGTACAGATAAGTACAGAATTCATGCTCTTTCCATAACTAGACTTTGTGTTTAATTGGGTAAAGAGAAAATGATGTGTCTCTGGAAGTCATCTATTAGTCTTCAGTGGAATCATAGATAAATAACTATTTTAATAAAAACTTATTAAATAATCAATTTATTTAGATCATAGTACTTGTAAATATCAATTTTATCCAGAATGATTTTTGATAAAAATATGTTCGCCCCAGAACTCAAACCTGAAAGGATTTTATCCACTACACATTTTATCTAGAAAGCACGGATGTTGAAATATATGCATCTATTTGTTAGCAAAGGCTGTAGGAAAGTATAGTTTGTCTTTATCTAAAAAATATGGATGTTTTGCTCATTAATTTTCCTGTTTGAAGAGTGTAGATTGACCATGAGGTTCTGGTGCCACCCCTCAGTGTACATTTGTTATTGCCTGGCCAACCTAATAAATAATAATAAATAAATGTTGAAGCCCTAACATTTATGAGATTACATTAAACACATGTTTCTAAAAGATTTTATTAAGAGGTAGTATAGTAATGAGGAACAAATATACAATGTAAACATGGTTTTTAAATTTGAATTTATAAAAAAACAAAAATCGAAATTATTCACTACCTTGCCTTAGTCTTTCACAAAGATATACTGCCTTATAAAAGTATTTGGCCATTTGAGGTTTCCAATCTCAAACCCCTGAAATGAAATTTATTGGATGTTTTAAACTTTTTTTAACAAATAAAAAACCGCAGAGTGTGGCGTGCCAAATTAATTACATTAATCAACCACTCTCCAGAAGTTCAACAGGGGTCTTTTGTCTTTTATGAAATTTAATGGAGGTTGGCAAACAATTAGGAAGTGCATTACCGCCACCTACTGGTATGGATTGTGGAACAAAGTGACATTATATTAACCGTTAAATCTATGTACTTTATATCCATAATATAATAAACCAATATCCTATATCTTTATCTAATATAATCATTATTTATTATTAACAATATCTTGCCATTTTATGTTCCAGATAGTTTTGTTCTTCCCTCCATCTCCAACCTTGTAACTATATTTTCCCAGCTGACTTCTTTGAGTCCCAAAAACTTTTCAGCTCCTTTGGAAATTATCCTGATTTTTTCCCCTCTTATGCTTGGCTTGGTCTGTGCAGTTGATTACATAGGCTATGAATAAATGAGTTCCTCTACCATCAGAGTGAAGTTATATTTTCTTTCTTTATTTGCTTTTGTACCCGATTCTGAGCTTGATTCATTTCTCCTGTCCTTTGTCATTGAACTCTCTTCACTGCTTCTGCTTATGTATTTGTTGTTTTAACCTGTTATATTTCCTCTGCTTTCTTTCTCACCTTACATCCTCCATAGCTGTATCTGTGCTGGCCTCCACAGTTGCAGCATCTTTCTAAAGCAGCTTCCCTGCACTCCTCGAACCTGTGTTCTCCACATTTTGAACACCTTTGCTTTCCCCTACATACTGCTGCCAAGTGTCCACATCTTCCAACAAGACAATGATCCAAAATGTAAAGCAAAATCTACATTGTAATGGTTCCCAAATAAACATATCCAGGTGTTATAATGGCTAAGAATTGTTAGAATGGCTTACTAAGCTGAATCTAATGGAATCTGTGGAAAGAATTGAAAACTGCTGTTCACAAGCGCTCTCCATTCAAACTCACTGAGTTTTTTATTTGTTAAAATAAGTTTTAAATACCAATAAATGTCAGCACACTTCATGATTGTGTACCACTAGTCACCAAAAAAATAAAATTTTAATATCTTTATGTTTGAAGCCTGAAATGTGGCACAAAGGAAAAAAATTCAACAGGGCCAGATGCTTTTGCAAGGAGCTGTATATTAAAGCTTATGGTCATAACAAGACAAAGTTAAAATTTGATACATTCTTTAGCAAGGCACTGGTAATCGGTAACTCACTTATTTAACTATAAATAAAATTGTCTTATTTATATACATCTTTTTTATGCATCCATTAAAGGACATCAAATAAGTCTGCAATATTAGTTCTGTGTTCGCATTTAGGTCGTTTATAAATAAAAAGTTGTCTAATTACATCCAACATCAGATCCTTCCTCTATTCTAAATTTATGCTTCCCAGGCCTTAACCTGCTATTAAAGATTATTGGAGTGAGCTAAGTTTTATTTACCACTCTTAAAGGAGTCTGATGGTTCCTCTGTTGCTGTGGTTTCAGTTGTTGCTCTCAATTTCAGAACCAGAACTTCAAGATCTCCCTGAATAGCCACATATCCTCCACACAGCGCCACCTAAAGGGCAAACAAAGATGCAGATGGAAAAGTTTGAATATTTTTAGTGTTGGCAATATATCGTCGTTCATCGTCGTTCAGGCAAGCAGCCATGCAGGAAAGATAATAAATTAATTCGTTAACTGTATCACTGAACACTTGACAGACTGTATTTTTCCGAAGCTGTTCAGCCTCCCCGATTGTTTGCATGAAGCTGCCAGCTGTGTAACATTGCATGTTAATACATACAGTCTGTGATACAGAGAGGAAAACAGTCCGTCCCGTGAAAACATAGAATATATCACTTATATAAGTGATATATTCTAATGGTCTTCCACTAAAAAATTTACACTTAGCCTCTGAGAAAAGGAGTCTTATCAGAATCATTCATAAAATATGGTTTTCGATTTAAAAACAAAATACTTTGCTTGTTTAAATTAAACAGCATAATAAAATGAAATATTGCTGTGAATTGCAAATCCATAATTTGACAATAAAATAGGATCAATTAACTTTTTCCTCAAAGCATTCCTATTCTCTCAACATTAATCTTGGATTAAGAAGTTTGTCTTTATTATCTATTAATATCTATCCAGACAGAAAAACGTTAATGTCTGGTTACTAAAATATGTAAATTTCAGATGCACATAAAACGATGTGTTCAATCAAAAAGATTTTTGAAAAAAATGTAAAACTATTAAGGTTGACAAAACCATGGAAATATTAAATGAACCTGTTTAGGAAAGATCTTTGAGAAATGGAGGATGACAGAACGTTCAAAGTCCAAGACAGAAAGATCCTGATTGGCAGCAGAATTCTGACCTGTGAGAAAAAAAACATAAACAAACAAAAACAACCAATAAATAAAAACTAAACAAAAAGTCAGTTGAGGCAAAGCAGCAAACAGAAAAAACAATACATATTCCTTTACCGATATTAATACAATACATGTTATTCCCTCAATACTTTTTAAATTACACTCTAAACATATTTGCTTGTTCGTTATGTTGTTGATAGTAAAACGGAAGCTTAACTTCTGACAAATCTTTATGAAGTAATTTATAAAAAGACTTTCACCCTTTAAATTACCTCGATTCTGACTGCAGCTCTGCTCTGTGTTCGACCAGGAGCTCTGAAGGTTCTGCTGGTTCTCCTTCTGTTATACAGAGGAAACAAATTTTTTAATCCATTCAAAGATGGACGTTTATAAATCTGTAAATCAATGGACTATTATATAAATTAGCATTTAGCTACATTTAACAAGGCTGGATAGTTAATGTACCATCAAAGCAATAAAGCCAGCACTGTCAGGTTCAGGGTTCTTACCAGGTTCTGTTGGGTATGTCTCTTTAAAGCAAAAAGAACCAGAGTTTTCTCGCAGCCGACCAGCAGGTCCCCCTTCACTGGGCAGGATGCCAGGGCGACAGGATGCTCGGACAGAGGGATCTCGATGATCTCCATCTGCACTCCGCCCCAAGCAGACGCTCCACGGAGTAAGTGGCCCAATAAACGCACCCCAACACGCGCCTTTTCCTCTGCCTGAACCAAAAGCAGGAAATATTTTACTACAAAAAACTTGACAGAAGAGGCTATTCGTTTGCCTGTGTGATCTGTATTTCAGAGCTTGTCTCATATTTTACTACCTTGGAACAGCTGGTTGAAAACTCTGTGTTCTAAAAATGTTAACAAAAAATCTCAAGCAACTCAACTACAAACAGATACACTCACATTTTTTTTTGTTGAAAAAATAAGGAATTTTATATATTTAAAAGGAGCTTTCAGGGAGATTTAAATTCCTGTTTAGAAAGCTAAATTATATATTAATTTGGACAAAGGATCTAGAAAGAGTTTCATTTGGTCTTGCACAGTTTAAATGGTGTATAAGAACAAAACTTTATTTTTGATTAAGCAGCTGTATGCAGCAAACACAGTGAAGCTGCAGTTCTTTTGATGGCCACTTGAGGGCAAATCCAAAAGTGGGGAAGTGCCCCTGCAATGTTGGGTCTCTTTATAAAGGTTGCATACAAACTGGGTCTCACCGCTGCATTCCTCCTTGGGTTAATTTCAACTTCAATTCATTTCAGTTCAGTTTATTTATATAATGTCAATACACAACAACTCATCTCAAGGCACTTTATAGAGGCAATACTGTCAGATTGGTTAGGAAAACCAGTTGATTGTTGCCTCCAGTCATTAACTTGCAAAACATGCTCCTCCCGGATGAGCTTGCGGTGATGACTTTCGTTTGCATTTTGCTGCTGACTCTTCAACAATCCCTCACACCGAGCATGCTTGTAGCAACAGTGGAAAGGAAAACTCTCTTTTAACAGGAAGAAATATTAATCTGAGCCAGGCAAACCATGTGAAGCTTAACCTACTAAAGGTGGAGATGGAGGTGGACTTCAACCCCCACCACCACAAACACACACACACACACCACTACCACCACCAAACACAAACACACTGCCTTGCACACAAAGTAAGCAGTCTTTCAAGTTACACATAAATTCTGTAAAGAAGACAGCCCGGCAGAGGCTACACTTCCTGCTACCATACAACCTTCCACAGGAGCTGCTGGTCATCTTCAACACTGCCATTAAACAGTCTTTTTTGAGCACATCATCCCTGTGTAGTTTGCCTAATCTACAAAAAAAGAGTAGCAGTTTCCACAGAATGTGTCTGTAATGAACTCTGAACCAACCAAGCTAGTCAGACATTTTGTTTTCCACTTTTTATTTTTATGCCAAAAAATTACATAGCACATACTGTCATTATCCTGCGTTTAACCCACTGTTAGGGCATGCTTTCTGCATAGTGTTGTTGTTTGTACTTTTGATTATGATGAGATGGTGGGAAACCAATGTTAAGCTCCTTGTTTGTTCAAGCAAATGTTGTTAAAACGGATTCATCAAACATACATAAAAAAAGAAAAAATATGTGCAAAGTTTGGTTTGGGTTTCATAACCATTACTGTACCTGATAACGCCAGTTTGTGTAGACTCTAAGATAGGTGGCGCTGTTCTTTTCCTCTATGGTTACCAAGTAGTCCCCTGAGAGACAGAAACAATTAGAGCCATGGTGACAAATGACTCAGTCATTCTCTAACTTGCTTTTCGAACTGCATTGCAAACATGCAGATGGAGAAAGAAGAAAGAAAAAGAAACTTAAATGTATTTTGATGTAATATTACATTAAATGATAAACTCATAAAACTCATTACACAACTGTGAACATGAAGAAAATAGTTATAAAATCATTAAAATTTAAAAATATGAAAACTGCAGCAGTAATTTGTAATTTCTATATTAAATCTAGTTAAGGCATTTTTTTTTCCACAAGTCACAGTCAATAGCATCCACCTGTGTTAATAAATAAAGGCTTTTTAAGGACAGAAAAGACATTACCCGACATCATGGAGAGTAAAAACACAAAACAGGTTAAAGAAACAATTTTAAGCAGCACTAAGTTATGAAACAATATTCCAACTAAAGCAGAGATCTCTGTTCAGTTCAACCCACAGAGAGGACCACATACATCACGCTGAGAGAGGAACACACCTATCATGCTCATCCAGATAAGGATGACACCCCACTTAAACGGCAGCAGAATCAATGAAGGGAAAGCAGCTGATGCAGAGTTGAAAGAACGGTACATTCTGAGCCCTCTACTTTCTGGAGTTTGAGTGACTGGTTAGAGTAAAGTTAGTAGAAGTCCACATCTCTGTCAACCTCACTTGGCTTGTGCTTACTTTGGAAGCTCCAGTAGGCCTTCCTCCACAACACATACTAATTAATTTCTAACATTTCATGTACTGGTGCACTCTATGGTTCATCACCTGCATTGTAGAAGACAGATGGAACATCCAACGGTAATGGAGAACCGATCCCCCCCAAGAGACATTTATACATACAAACATAAACTCAGTTGTGCAGCCAACACCAAAACAACAAAAATGGGGGGGGGGAAAGTCCTCTGAGTAGTTAAAAATCAAATTCTATTTGACGAAAGAGGAATGTTGCCCTGGATATTCAGTTTATGCATTGAAAGGGGAGCAGGCAGCATTGTGCTGTGGAACTGCTTCCTTCAGCATCAACAGGAAAGCTGTTCAGATTTCATAGGGAGGTGAAAAGAGTTAAAAATAGGACAGCCCGAAAAGAAAACCTGACTTCAAAGGACTTTTTCACCTTTAAACATGACAGCAAAACATACAGCAAGAGATACAATGCAATGGTTTGGAAATCAAATCACTTTCATAAAAGACTCTGCAGTAAGATTTAAAATAGAAAGGTTCAAGGGCCATGCATGCTTTTCTGAGGCCCTGTAAGAGAGAGCAGGAAGTGTCTGTACCTATAGTACTGTGCTGGATTCTCCTCACTGTGCCCATGGTGGCAAAGCGACAGATTAGAGGACAGCCCTCCTTTTCCAGATTGTATGCCTCCACCTGGGTTCAGTTTTAAAAACAGACATGGAGAAGAGCATTTATCAATAATATTGATATGCATTCGTTTGTAAGCAAAGCATCAGACTGAAGTACAGCTGTGTCTCCCTCTGAAGAGTTAGGCTTATAGCTACAATATCTCTAATATATCTACATAAAAAGAAAGTAAAATGTTCTCTGTGAGGACATAAATTATTAAATAAGCTGCTTTCATAATGTGTAAAAATAAAGCGTAAAAAACTTTAAAAAAATAAATGTAAATTGATAAGCAAACTGTTATATATATTGTGTTCTGAGTTAATCAAAACTTTCCATTTTCCTTTTGATTCCTGTTTTGTTTTGCATTTTGAAAATAACTATTTTAAGCAGACCTTGCATCCTCCTGTTGTCACCACAAACAGCGTTGTGCCGCCACAGCACACTAATCCAGGTTCCTGCTCCACCTGAGCCACAGAGACACAAAACATTTTAAAGATACTGTAACTAGTCCTGTTTTTTTTTTTTACATTGTAGATCTAATGCACTATTAGTATATTTACCTGCACAATCTGCTGGGATGCAAAAGGATGACAGTTGTAAACATGCACCATGTTTGGTCCTTGATGTGGAATGGAGATTCACACCCAGAGTGTATAATTCATCACTAAAGGCTGCTCTTTTCGCTCAATTTGGTTACATTATTCTTTTTAAGGCTTCATCCATTGGAAATCTGCTGTAAAAAAAAAAAAAATAAATAAAATAGTATGATATGAGGTTATTCCAATCATCTCGTTTATTAATTTGTTGGTACAACACCATCCTAAAAATAATAGATTATTTCTTTATTTTTGTTTCATATCCATAACAAATTTCAAAATATGATTTTAAACTCAAAATGTCAATTTGAGAATTATTGTAGAAACAATATTTATTAATATAGCACCAATTTTTCTTTGTTTGTTTTAGGATTTTTATTATTCAACAGCCCTGATTGAGGGTGACAATATAAGGCATAAAACTTTAATTTGAACAATATACATGTATAAAGAATATTTTTAGAAAAACCCATGGAGTTTATAACATTAAAATTGGTTTGGATTTTCACAGTTTTTATTTACATTGATAAGAATAAGTCCTTAGCTCTTTGACAATCGAGACTAATTTAAGTCATCTTCACTTGGAATTTGTAAATCTCTCAATCGTGTTCAACTGTGTTTCATCAAAATAGAGTTTGTGCTTTACAGAAAACATTGAATAAAATCAAATAAAGCCCATTTAATAATTTGGGGACTTCTTAACAAATGGGTTGACGACTTAAATCTAAAAGAGACACCCTGCTCTCAAAAAAAGCTAAAAAAGTATTGAAAAACATACCTCAAGACAATTAAGGTTGAATATCCATACGTGCTTCAATCATATGTTATTCTAAACCCAATAAATTAATGTCTAGTTATCTACACATCTAAATAAATTGCAATCCTTTGCAATTTTGATCACTATTTTTAATCTGTTTAAATAAGAGATGGCTCTCATTATAGTTATTGAACATTTTGATTAGTTTTAGAAAATCCATGCCATTACTGTAAAAGCTTGCATCTCTAAATATCCTATTCATTTTATGTATCAGAACCACAATTTGTTTCAGGGTCAAACCATTTTTTGTTACTTAAACAAAAGATTTTTACATGACATAGGAATGTCTCTAAAATTATTAAAATCAGGAAAGTAATCTAATTATATTTAGGTGACAAAATAACAAAAAAAGGACAGACAATTATTTGAAAGGATTAATTAAGGATGTTTACAAAGAGTCTGCATTCACTTAATCACTGATGTGATTAAAATCCTGCGAATAAGATTCATCATAGTATATATATATATATATATATATATATATATATATATATATATATATATGGTTACCTTAAATAAATAATAACAACGACATCCTAAAGCCTATAAACAACAGATAACTAAATTGATATCATCAGAGAAACCAAATCATCCCAGAACTGAGCTCTTGGGTTTATTTTGCACACTTCATCATCACTTCTTTCCAATATCGAAACTAAAAGAAACCTAAAAAGTTCATGGAGTTTAAATAAAAGCTGCTTCACCAAACCTGCCGTTTAAATCGTATGTTTCCCAGCAAACCAAAGGCTGAAACAAAGCAGCGGTTCTCCTCTAGGTTGTCCTCCTTTCTCACTAATCGATATCACATGCTGCAGTCTTGTGAGCAGCAGCAGTGTTTGGTGGAAATAAATTCACACATTTAGTCACATCGCCCCTTTGTTTCCATTTTAGCTGCTTTGACTGATATTTTACATATAATAGACAGATGAGTAAATTAAAATACCTAAATTGCTGTCAAGACCTCAGCTTTTTCTCTGTCTTCCTTATTGAGTGACTGCAGGAGTTTGTTGATTTCATACTGCAGAGCAGGAAGTACTCCACCCATAATAAGACAAGGCCCGCCCTCTCTCAGTGCTGATTGGCTTAGGAGGCTGCCTATTTGCGCTTTACTCAGTGATTGGTTACTGGGCTGTCACATTAGTGAAGATGATCCGTATCTTCTTTTTTTTAACTATTTCAAGACCAAAGCAAACTTAAAGTTATGTTTTGAGTCACGTTTATTAAAAATCTGCAAAATATTTAGAATGTTGTTTTCTTCTCATAGCTAATCTTCACCTTTCTTTTATTTTCCCATTTGACTGCGGTATTTAATCCTTTTAGTAGCCCGTGTAGAGCAGGAGCCACACGTGGCCAAGATACTTGTTTGTGCTTTTTAATAGCAAACAAGTAAATAAACAAACAAATAAAACAGAATTATTAGTATTTTCTCTTCTTATTTTTTTTTTACTTATTTATGACAACTTGAATTTGCCCTAATCGAAAACTGAGATAAAAGCAGAGAGAACAATACCACTATTCAAGAAGGCCACACTTCACTTCCCTAAAACCCATAATATGAATGAAGAACAAGGATGATTTAAGCATAAATGCACCACACACACAATGCATGATTAAATGATATTTTGTGTCAATAGCTTAATGATTCTAATGTTTTCTTCTATCTGCTAAATTATTTGGTTGTTCAATTTTCATTGGAACTACTTTGCCCTGTGAATGACAGAAGGCTGCTCACAGCCTGGTCCTGCTTGAGGTTTCTTCCAGTTACAGGGAAGTTTTCCTCTCCAGTGTTGCTGCATGCATGCTTGATAAGAGGGATTGCTGCAAAAGCAATGACACAATGCATGCAACTGTCCACTCTCTTACATGCTCATCCAGAAGGGGCAAATTCTGCAGGTCAGTGACTCAATGCAATTTCATGGTTTTCTCAGATAGAAAAAAAAAATGTCCCCAATCTGCTTGTATGATTTGATCAAACTGAGTCCTTAAAGTGCATTCAGATGACATGCGTAAATAATGGGGGAGTGTTGGCCTAGTGGTTAGAGCAGTGCGCTTGTGGTCTGATCAATGTTCAATTATTTTTATTATTATTATTAATATCTATCTATCTATCTATCTATCTATCTATCTATCTATCTATCTATCTATCTATCTATCTATCTATCTATCTA